GTTTTTAATAACTTAGTTCTAAGTTATAGAGATTAAGGAAGAAAAAGAAGCAGAAGTGAGATCTGTAATCACAATTTTTTTCTTCTGTGCCCAAAGGGCTTTTATTATTTCATCTCAGCAGATTCAATCCCCAGTCTACCTACTATGAAACTGAAGAAATTGCACACAGATGTAGAGAAGAATTCTTCTGAGTTTTATCATGGTATAAATGACCTGTTAACAAAGTCAGCATATACCAGACAAATGGACCTCCATGTTTTAAAGCATTTAGAAAAAAGATTACATTTTGTGAAATAACTTTGGTGCTTCTTGACTTGCCAAGTGGATTTATGATCCACCTTGAATTTGGCAGATAAAGTTTGTTAATGAATATTTTAAAGTGTGAGGCATGACACAGAAAATGACCACAATATTAGTATCAAAGACTTAATGTGGATAATGCTGCAGTGAAGTTCTCTAATCCAGAAGCAACATTACCTGTTGTGGCAATTCCTCCCGGTTTTATTTGAACAGCTGTTAAACTGGAAATGAACTTGTGGATTTAAGGGCTTACAATCTTTTCCTTGTACAAGGATAAGCAAAAAAAAAACCCGACCCACAAACCCAAAACAACTTTTATTAATGGCTCCTTTTTGCTGAACGCTCTTCCAAAAGAAAAACGGAAATTAAAAGAACCTCTCTTCAATTTTTGTTCAGCAAACAACATGGTTGCTTCACCATGCAACAAATGGAATGAGAAAATTGTGAAACAGTTTTTCACAGTTTACTACTTGCCATATCTATCTGATGCTAGCTGCTATACAAACACACCAAGAGACACTTTCATTACTTCAAGGATTTTATAGCTAAAGGGTATGAACACATGATCAAAGACATTTGAGGTATAGCTGTTTAAGTTAACTGTATTGCTCAACAGCTGAAACTCCACAGCTAACCATGTATTTGCTCGTGATGCAAAATGTGTCTCAAGGGAAATTAATCTTACGTAGAACCAACATGACATATAAATAAAAAGTTTTGTCTGACTGATTTGTTGGTTTGTTTTTTGTTTTTACACAAAAGCAATATTGAATTAAAACTGGGACATTTTCTGATTATTTGTAGCCACATTAAATTCACAGTCCTCAAACACTCTTTTCCTCTTTTCCCATCGAGTCCTAGTACCCTGTCAGTAATTACCAAGCAACACTCCTATTACTACTACTACATTCAGTACAGTAACTAAGCAAAGGCAAGTGAAAGTGGCTACATGGGCAGAAGAGAGAGATTTTGCCTTTAAGAGCTCAGGGCTAATCAGGAAGAGAGCAGTGATGAGAGAGAAAAACAGAGCTACAGCAGTTTGTGCAAGTGGCAACAGTCAAGCAGCAGATCGTGGAACATCATACATACCTGCTTGCTTCGCAGTTCCTCAGACACCTTCTATCATAGGTCTCAAGCTTGTTCTGGAAAGTCAAAAAGTCTAAGAAGCCATGGATCTATTAAAATGTCTTCTCAGCTAACTGTAACTTGTTCTATTTTTAAAGATAAAGATTTCAATTCTCTTCTCACTTGCCAGATCACAAATGACTCTATTGATTTAAAGACTCACTCACAAATGACTCTATTGACTCAAAGAGCAACTGTTTTCCATCTATCCTTGTATTTGTATGGAACCGAGTTCCTGCTTACAAGAACATCCCATCAAGAAAATCCTTCAGAATGCAGTCAAATTCAAAAATTTACTTAAATTCCACTGATTTCCAGGAGCACACAGAGAGTCAGGCTTCAGAACTCTACAAAACTGTGATCTCACCTTTTCAGGCTAGACTATCTTTTATATACCTGACCTATACAACAGTTTATGCGCATCTGAAACACCTGTGAGATGGCATTGTGGCTACTCTTACTACTTTTCTCTCTATTAAATTGAAGAAGAATACCTAACTCCAGGTTTTCTTTTGGATATTTGTTGGAAGGACTTCCTGGTCTTACACACTAACACCAAGACATTTTGTTTTCATCCTTCAAATTGTTGTATATGGTAGAAAGGCTGCAGGCATCTGAATTATTATTATGTACAATGCGTCTCATGTACATTTCTAAGATACACTACTGAATTAATTTCTCAAAATCCTATTCCACTTAAGTCACACAAAGACTGAGAGCAGGGATAACCCTTTCAGGTCTCAGCTGACTCCAGTTGCAACTGATCATTGCATAGTCAGTGCAGAATGACTGCATTAATGAAAATTCCACTAAAAGTATTGTAAGTTCCACTTTAAAACAAATATACTACTCAGTAACACACTTCTTGCCTACTCCTATTGCACACTCTAATCAAAGGGGGTTTTGCTTAAACTACAAAGCACTTACCACCACTTTCAAGGTGGGCATCAAAACATATTATTGCATATGTTTCTACCAATAAATGAAACAATAAGTAGCTTTGGTTGTTTTTTTTTTTTCTTCATCTTACTATCTAGACTTTTCTGAGGTGATCAGACCCAGGACAAGTGCAGTGGTGGAGACCCAAGAATATTTTCTTGCCTACCTCAGCTGGAGTCCACAGAGACAAAAAGACCATCAAGTATCTCCTCCACTTGTGACACAGGCAGTTGCTTCCCCCTGGTTTCTTTCATCACTAGAGGGTGATGACAGTTTTATGTCATGCACAGGCTCTGATCACAGTCCTGTTGTAACATGAGAGGAAGCTGAGGTTAGCAAACTCAAAGATGCATGCTACTTGAACATGAACCTGTTGGAGCAGGTTCAGAGGAGGGCCACAAAAATTATCAGAAGGATGGAACACTTCTATGAAAACAGGCTGAGAGAGTTGGGGTTGTTTAGCCGGGAGAAGAGAAGGCTCTGGGGAGAACTTAAGTACTGCAAGGCCACTATAAAGGGGCATCATAAGGAAGATGGGAGAGATTATTTAGCAGGGCCTGTTGCAATAGGAAAAGGAGCAATAATCTTAAACTAGAAGAGGGTAGAATTAGACTAGATCTAAGGAACAATTTTTTTTTATGATGAGAGTGGTGAAACTCTGGCACAGGTTGCCCACAGAGGCAGTAGATTTTTTCCTTCTTTTTTCCTTTTTTTTCCTTCTGCTGTTCTCTATGACTTAGTTTGCATTGACCAAATGGAAGAAGAAAAAATATGAAGGAACAAAAATATTAAAAGTTATCATCTAAATTATTTTATGACTAAATTCTTGATTTTTATTGATGTCAAAAAGGCAAACTAACAAAAAAGTCACCTTTGCAATGTCGTCCCACCTGAGGCACATCAAAAAAAGTTCACAATCTGCTTCTTGCAGGTAATTAAGAACATATACTTAAAACACCATCACACATCTCAGTATATGGTTCTGATTGATTTTGCTACCTGAACACTTAAATTATACTAATTTCTATAATAACTGTAGCAATAATTAAAAAATCTCCAAACCTAGAAATATACTAGTCTGATAAACTCTCTAACAAAAGCTCTCCAAATAAAAAGAGGAAGTATTCTTTACTCAGCTTATAACGCCTATTTGTACGATACTTGTCTTACACACATACAATAAATATACTTTACTTATATGAAAAACTACCTGTATGGAACTGTTGTCAGGCTCCAAGTTTCACATACTTCCCAGGAAACAGAAAGAGCATGAAGATGACTTAGTATGCTTTTACACATAGGTAGTTGCCACAAACAAGTGAAATATTAATAATTACACTTCTCCTTCAAAATCTGCAGGAATCCTAAACAATTTAGAAACAATTAAGTATATGGACTACAACAGGCAAACTGAATGCAATAAAATACTGAATAATTATAATTCATGAAACAGCAACCATGCAGTTTGTCTTCAGACCCTGAAAACCTATTAAAAATATAGGAAGACAAGTTCAATATTTAATTAAAATTAAAAAGAGCATAGAGGCTATAACATAACACCATAGAGGTTTTAACATAACACATAGATGTAGTGATAGGCTTTTCTGTCACACACCAGTGTAACACGAAGTCACTTGTTCTCCACATGCAGGTCTTCTCCAGAATCCTCTTCATATCACTGAATATCCTCTTTATATCAGTGTAACTGCTGTCATCTGTCTACATGTTATAAATAAATTTGAGTAGAGGTTTTATTGTGAGATAAAGAATTATGCTGTTCATTTCAGCCTAATTGTCCCCCTGGAGTTCAGAAAGAAGCCAAATTCTTTGCTTCAGAAAGAAGCAAGATGTCCCAATGCAAGTTCATTTCACAAAATACTGACAGGTTCAAAATGAATATTAACAGTTTACTAATGACAGAGCCTTACTATTAACTGCTGATAACTCGGGAATTTCACACACAATCACCTTCTGAAATTAGTTTTACTGTCCTTGTAGCTAAAAATTTTTTGGTTATCTAGCTGTGGTACAAGAGGGCCTGTGGGAACTCTTGAAAAGTGTTTTACTTCAGTAAACAATCTGATAACGTGAAGAATTTGACTGTTATTTAGTTGTAAAGCAGTATTTTTCCAAGTGCTCATCAACAGAATTAAGAAAATCAAGGTAGTTAAGTAGGGTGAAAAAATCCAGGGCACCTGATTCAACAGGAATAAACATTCTAGGAACCAGCTGTTCGCCAGGAACTCACATCTAAGTTAGACTAGGCAATGTAGCTGCTCAAGCCACTCTGTTAAGATGCCTTTTCACTTGTCTTGCCAGTCACAATGATGAGCGTGAATATAGCACTTAAACTAAATTGCTCACAGTTTTCACTTCAGTCTTGTTTCATGTAACCAGAAGAAATACACCCTCCTCAAAGCTCATACAGAAATACTTATCGTGACGGACTTCCACAGCTTCTGTACTCATGCAGTTTGGCATCTCAAGAACCAATTCAAGTTAATGAGTTTCATCTAGTAATGAGAAAGCTGTAAGTGAAATGAGACAAAATCATGTTATAGCAAAATGCAGAATTAAGATCTGAATAAAATATGCCTGGATGCAATCAGCAGTCAATGAGAATGACAAATTCTGCATGGTTTCAAATTAAAGAATTTTAATGGAGTCTTGAAGCTTAGATACAGAAATACAGTTGCAGACAGCCAAGGGTTCCGATCCAAATGTCTAGGCTTTCCAGGTAACACTACCAATATCTAAGTTTCTAAGGCTGTAATTGAGAAGGTGAAGTTTGCTTAAAGCCTTTTTTTTTTTTTTAAATGAGGATAAAGTTTTCCCAAATTTCTTTTATCTTCAACTTTTGTATTTTCAAGCCATGTTTTATTTCAGGTGAATGTCCTTCTTTGGTTTTCATCCTACTAGAATATTTTTTAAAAAGTGGGAAAAATAACATGTGAACACATTACTGTTGTTTCTCCTGACTATGCTTACTAGTCAGGTGAGAAGTCTGGAGTTTTTACACGTACAAATGGAGCACACTGGAATGTGAGATCAATTCTCACACACACTGTAATTAGCTGTCAGTTTCCCCATGGACATTTTCCATGTGCACTTTGAGGTAGTCATTTCTTGTAAACTTCTTGTGGCAAAGCTGGCATTCTGCCATCGGTCGATTGGGGTTGTGAGTCAGCTTGTGTCGGATCAGCATTTTCTTCAGGCTGAAGGACAGATCACAAACCTAAGGTAGTGAAAACAAAGACACAAGAAGTCTTAAAATTTCAAGCATGTATAATGCTCCTTATGTTACATCACTGAGCCCACAGCCACACATACCTGCAATACTTAATAAATGAGCTGGTCTTTGGAAGAATAACTGCTTCAGAGAGCACCTTTAAGATTATCACTCTTTTATAACATCTGTTGTACATTAACAGTGATACCACAGGCACAGCAGAAAAAAAAAAGGGGGTGGAAAAAACACCCAATCTTCAAAGTATCAACACACCGAGCTGTCCCGGTTACATGGTGTTTTTTCTTTTAAAACCTATTATTCTATCTGGGATGCAGCAAAAATTATGACAAAATGTCACAAGCCTCTGTCAATTTGACCTCAAATAAATTATTTCCTTCCTGACTTCAAGAATGACATCCATGAGTTCCTAAAAAATCAGTTCAAATTGTTCAGTTACAAGGAGAAAGGAATGAGAAAAAAAGAGGGTCTGAAGGCTGCAAGAAAGTTCAATAATTATTGTAGAGGAAAAGTCATTGTTCCAATCCTCTGCCTGGCCAAGAAAACAGAAGACATCTGGCAAATGAAGGTGCAATTCCTTTGCTGTATTATCTGGTGTGCTGCTTCCTTTCCTCCACTGTACTCCAAGCAGTCCAGTTCATTCTGCCATTTGAATAAATGGGTAGAGGGATGAGGGGCTCTGCCATGCTAAAACCATCACTTCTTATAAAGATTCCTATACCGAAGTCAAAATGAAAGGTTAAGAACAAGTTAAAAAGCTCAGCCAAGAGAAGTTAGAATAAAAAGTTAAGAGTCTGTAGGCAGGACATTAGGTGAATGGAAAACATGCAGTTCTATTGTCACATTCACCTTCCATCCAGGCACCTATCTTATACGTGAATTTCCCAGGAAAAAAAAAAAAAAAATTAAATCAGAATGAACATCCAAAAGCTTACAGTTTTAGAATTCCACATTCATTCCAAACAAAAATGTCTTCCATGCAGAGGAAACTCAGGGAGCCCAGCACAATCCCTCTCTTAAAAAAAAATAACGAAGTTTTGAATTCATTTTGGTATCAAACTAGTAATGAAAACGCTGAATGACTACTGACTCCTTCTGAAACCAAAACAAACAAATAGAAGTGACTATCCACATAGATAATCTTGACCTGCAGTATGTGTATTTTATCCCAATTAAGGCAACACCATACAATAACTATAAAAAAGGCAACTGCCAGAAGCAAGTTTTGCACCAAAAAAATTTTTCCCCCAGACAAGAACACTGAATGTGGTGTTGCAATGGAACAGTTTTGAATTTATGACATGATGTAATTCCGAGGACTTTTATACAGCAAGTGTAACTCCCCAAATTTTTTCCCCCTAAATGTATAATTACCTCTTTCAGACTCAAGCAACAATCACCCTTTTGTTATGCAACAGTGAATGTCACTTACAGCATCCACTGGTCAGGTCCGAATACTGCTTTTGCCAAGTACCATTGTCTATTCCTCTTCCACAGAGCACACAAAGTGAACTCCTAATGTTTATCTAATCATAACCATCGTGCTTGTTCACAAGTCTCAACATGTTAAAAGTATCACATACTTGTAAACATAACATGTTTTTTGGAAGCCAAGAAGCTGATCAATGATATATATACACATGCAAGATATATGTGTTCTGTGCACACCCCTCCTCATTTTTAAAGTAAACAGCGTATAACACAGTCCTGAAGTACACTTTTCTTTCAGTTAAAATGCTCATGTAACAACTAGTATAACATGTCCTGCTGTTCCCTCAAGGGTCTAGCATGCTCTGACTACCTAACTTTTTCAAAAAGAACATGGAATGCACAGGATCATTACTTAAAGATATGTTATGTCTTGTGCTGTGCTTATACATAAAAGTTTTGGGGTTTTCTAAGAATTTACTTCATATTTAATTTTATAAGAAAGACTGATATTTTATAGATTTACAGCCATGCTTGCCAATGTGCACCTGACCGCTCATCAATCTCTTCAAAACGATCAAAGTTTTGATGAAGTAGGGAGGATAGAAAAGACTGACATTTAAAAGTAAGTGCAGGGTCAACTAAAGGCAGAGTGGAGGGTAATACTGTACTGGAAAGAAACCAGGACAGGCAGTACCTGACCCTTCTGCCCCCAAAGAATAATCTGTTGTCTCTGAGGCAACTGAAGTTCAATTGGCCTTCCAGTAAAACATAGGCTGGTCCTCAGATGACAGAAATCTAATATACTAGGAAAAAAAAAAACATGTTTTGTATTTCCATATTTCAGTTATTTTTCACTTTCTTATGTGACATTTACTAGAATTTTCACCTTAGAAAGGGAATATACAATTTCCACAACTATCAATGGGCTGTGAGAGCTTTGAGTCATTAACAGTTAGTTCTGAGTATGCTTTTGTTGATGGATAAGACACAGAAATAGCCACATAAATGATGTGTAGCAACTTCTTCAAACAGGGTACAAGGATTAGTTTTTTATGTCACACAAAATCCTGTATTGTAATGTCTGTTCCAAATGCCTGAGACAGAGGAGAGTGAGAGAGGAAGAGAATACATGGCTTTTACTTCTGATTCTGGAAGAAAATTCTGTTTAAATCAAAAATGCAGTCCAAAAAAATTGGTGTGTAATAGTTTATATAGGGTGGGGGAGAGGTGCATTGTCAAGTGAAGCCTATTCTTGAGCCCATAAAATACACTTTCTTTTTTTTTTTCCCCAACAGCCAAAAGTTCTTTTTCTTCACTTTTGAAGACAATTCCTGTTTGTAAATGCTAACAGTACTAAGAAACAAAGAAGATTCTGACCGCAAATGTTAATATGTTAATTGGAAGAGCTGAATAGTTTCTATGACTGCTTCTAATGCCAGCTAGGAAATGAGACCAAACCCCTCAATCCTTTAAAGACTTCTGTCTTTCAGTGCGGCTTCATTTCCAATTACATTTATGAATATGGTAATCATTGAAAAAATAGCCTGGTTTTCAGCTTTATAGGATTCTTAGTAGGTCTGGGCATTGGACTTAGGGGCTTTTCCAATTACTTTAATGAGTAGGGACATGCCAACACTGTGCCTTTGCCCCTTAAAAACATATAATGGAAATACAGAAAAAAATCATGAACATGGGAACTCATCATGCAAAGTGCTGGAAAGAGAAACAACTTCAGAGAAGTTAACTAAGAAGGAACACGGCACATGTACAGAAAGCAATGAATGGAATAGCTATTAACCCTTTCTGCTAAGGAAAGAACTAAAAGACAGTTATTGAAATTCCATTCCATTAACCTGACACTCTCCCCTCCCCAAAAATCTCTTCCCACATTTAAGAATTTGTGGATGTTGTTGCCATAAATGACCACTCAATTCATTATAAGGAAAATAACAAGAACATCTACAGTATCTTTAGCAGGATAAAAATTGTAGGTGAGAATACTGGAATGCAAAAAGCCATCTTTAGCACTGGGGAGCCAACAGTAAATGTCTCCCATGGGTACATTCTTCTGTAACTGTCCACTACTGGTTTTCCTGTAACTTCTGCTGAAACATCTGGTAACATGCAATGTGCAACACAGCTCTGGAGGAATGGTCTGCTCTCAGTGACAATTACTACGTCCTCAGCATCTGCAGAAGTGGAACCTAGATGAAATAAGGAGTAACTATCGAAATTAAAACTTTCAGCACCTTCCAAGTGTGCATCTACCAGCAGATCATGGTAGGCACCTGGACAACTGAAGAGCGTATGAACGAACAGTAGAAGCAGCTGCTGTTAATGTCCAAACCCCGAAAAGTCAGCAATCCTTACACCGTGCCGCTGGCAAAAGACTAGCACTGAGGAATAATTTTAGTGAAACATGGCAGTAATCTAAAGTATAAAAAAATCTCCAGTAAATGAAGGTACATAAAAATTTTCAGAGAAGGACTAGGACTAGACAGAGATTACAGCTGTTTCTAGAAATACTATAATTAAGGAAAATACAGCTCTATGTTATTAGTGAGGAAAACTGAAGGAATAGTTGAAGCAATAGAACACTTATTTTCAATGAAAAAAAAATTACAATCACCATCCCAAATTGGTCTGAAAAAGCACACTCTGAATCCAAGACCAGCAAATCTTGGATCCACAGTGTGGGAAAAGTTGCATTTACAGTGCATGCTAGCCAATTGCTGATAAACAGTACAGCAATCTGAAAACTGAAAAAGTTATTGACTATGATTTGGAATTAGAGAAATCCTCAAGGTACTGTCTACAGCCAGGCTGAGATTATCCCAGAAGAATACAGCAAACCTCCTGACTTGTAAACATCAGAAAAATATTGTAGCTGAATTTTTTCATTAAGTTAATACATTTTATTGTCAATGAAATGTCACCAAATTATTTATTAGAAGCCAGATCAATTAACAACTTACGATTTTCATGCCAAGTGGTTACTCTAATTTTGCACCAAACTTAGAAATTCATGAACAAAATTACAACTGTTCAGACTGAGCCATCTAGGATACAACTGAAAGCTGGTAGCTCCCTTGTGACTAGCTGATTAAAAAATAGTATCACAAAACTATGCACTTATAATAATTCTACACCCTATTCTGATGCCCTTTTCTAAATCCTTGAGGACAACTCAAATTCTGGCATTTGATAATTCTGAAAGACATTTTTTTCCAACAGTTTCTGCATATTCAGCCTCCCCGCCTGCCTTCCAAAAGCTGTGAGATACACCGTATGCAGGATGGGGGATGCTGAATGAAAGGTACTTGACAGTGATCTATGAACTGTAAGATGATAGGCTGCATTTCAGTGCTGCAAGCATACAAAGCATCCACGATTTCTTCATTGAACAATAAAAAAAAAACCAACTACAAGCAGATGTTGAAAATATCAGACCAAATTTCACTAAACAGAAATTGGAAATTCTGAATTCTTGTGTCATTCAACAACATCAGAAGCATTCAGATTCCATGTAATGAATTAAATGTCTTTTCCTATATCCCTAAGAGCATGAATTTGTAACTTGCAACATCCAAATTGCATTAATAATGGTGAAAATAACTCTTAAGGGATCCAAAACCATAAAATAAAAGGGTGTGCAATGCTCTTGGCAACTGAAGAGGGTGCATAAAACTCCCTGAATGGTCTTTTATTAGTTAGGCAATCCAAGACCATACAAAGTGTAACTTTATGCCACAACCAATAGGTGCAAGGCCGTAGTCTCACTGCAGTTAAATCCTGCTGCTGCACTGAAGTCAAGAAGACAAAGGGACAGATCAACTCACGTCACACTGAAATGGCTTCTCTCCGGTGTGGGTTCTCATGTGCTCATCCAGTCCCCGCTTTTGACTGAAAGCCTTGTTACACTCTGAACATTGGTACGGCTTTTCCTGCATGAAATGACAACAGTGAGTGAAAGTGAGTGAAAGTGAGTCAACACAGAGCCCAAGTCATTAAAGGAGTGGAATTCCATGCTGGATGGTGCAAGTTTTATATTCTCTCTAAGGGATTACAGTCAGTGAAAACAACAGAAAACGACTTTCAAATGATTAAGTGAAAGCTGGGAAAGCTGTGGCCTGACAGTTTCCACTTCAACACCCACTTATGAATTAATTATCTGTTCCAGTCTTTCAATCCCAGCCATTTTGGGAGTCTGGTTTTTGTAATGTGAAAGGTACAGAAACATAAAATTCCAATGTACTTTCCTTTATCCTCCACAAAAGTTTAAGGCATAAAGACAAGTAATATGTCTATGAAAACCGCAGGTTTGTTAGCACGTTTCCAAGCAGAGGAAGAGGTGAGGGGAGGAAGTGGGGTACAAGGAAAGCTTCTGGTAGAGAAAAAAAACTTATTTTGAAACGTGGTGACAGAAGGTTAATCACATATTCATTGCAGAATCTCAAAAGAAGTGCAGATGGCAACCAAGCCATCTGTATTTTTATTAGAACTATTGGTTAGCAGCTACTGTAACACATGATGTTATAAAAGTTGCAAGCTCACTGACATCAAATAAATAATTAGAGATATGTATGGAAAACCACTTATATACATTTTCTTCTTCAATATAGAAACTTATTATATAAGATGTAATTGTTCCTTTCTTCCAGTAGTTACAAAATCATTGTATGGAAAAAAACCCACACATTTAAAGAAATTAATTAAATCTAAAATTTAGTATTATGAAACCGCACATTGCCTCACTAAAATTTTGATGCTCTAGAGGCACCTTTATTTTGAATCAAATAACTACACTCATTCTACTCTTATCCTACTTTTTACTATGGTCCTTAATTCTGTATTGCTTAAGTTCTAAAGACGGGTATTTTAGGCAACAAAGTAAACATTTTTTACTAAATCAAAATTGAAAACAAAGACTGAAATTCAATAGGCAATAAAAATGCTAAGTCCATGAATTAGCAAATAATAGGCAGCAATCTTAATGGTCTTTTGGGAATAACATGGGATCCAAGGACAAGTGAGAAGGAATAACTCAGGTTAGGTGTTGAAGCTACAAAGTGAAAAAATTCTCTGGTTATTGAATTCCTATTCTGAGTATGTAGGGGACAATCAGTTCTCCGTCTATTGCTGAATCCTGCCAGGTACTCAGCACACACCATGCAATGGACTATAAATCAGTGTTGTTCTGGTAAGTACCAAACTCTGTCTTTAGAGCAGCTCTTCACAGATACAGAGATCTCAGCAGGGGTGAAGACTGACTGGTTCTTCATTTTGCTCTAGTTGCGATGGATTACCCTAGGTTTCCTAGAAAGGTAGTGTTATAGGCAGAAACATCCCAGCTTTCAGTGGAAGGAATCCTCTAGCTCACCATAAAGAGGTCATAAGCTGTGTACACAGGGAAAAAGCAGTTCTCCAGCAATTTCTATTTCAGATTTGAGTAAATCATGAGATAAATAAAGTAAATTTCAGTATGATGCAAGACAAATCTTTCTACTGACACAGGCTGAGTACACAGTGCCAAGCTGCATATAATTAAACTGGCCTAAAGGGAAGCCACTAATGGGGTTTTTTGTGGAAGATTCTCCTTACGTATGTTTATCATCTTTGTGGGTTATCATCATACCTTAATTTTGTATTTTCCATGATTCTTCAGCATAGAGAAAAACATAACAAATTACCTAAAAAAGATCTGAGCTGATCTTAAAACAAAACAAAACAAAAACAAAAACCAAATCATTACCTGGACCAAAAACTTCATGTCACAGGGAATTTTGCTTGACTGACTAAAGACTTCATAGAGCAGGTCTGTAATTTTTACAGAAATGTACAAATAAGCCATATGAAAAGCAGGTTTCTGCAACGCCCCCTTAATTGGTTTTGCATTGTGGTTAACATAAACCACATTTTCTGTGAGTTCTTTGAAAACAGCCTCTCTCTGTAGGTTGTTCCACAGAAAGTGCAAAGTAAAGTATAAAATGTGTGCATCTTAAACACCTATGAAAACATCCATTATTGCAAACTGTACCAGGTGTACTTGCTCCTTTTTTATCATCTTGTTCTTCAAGTATCTGAAGAGTTAACTTATTCATTTCAGAGTTAAAAGGATCCCATTTCTGAGAAAGAGCCATTATAAACTTTGGGAAGCTGAAGTCACAAACGTAGGCTGTAATATCTTCCCCAGGGTTATGTTTAGCTATTTGTACTACTCTCTATGGCAAAAAAAGGTATATCTAACCATTCCCTTGGCAATTGTATTCAAATTCACATATGTACTGCATGAAACACATCCAAAGCTGACTTTGATCTAATTTTAGATTCCTTACATCTGTATGTTCCAGTGACTTCGGCAGACAATTCTGATTCACACCAGCCCCCTCTCCACTAAGCTAAGCTGCCCTTCACTCACGTTTGTGTCTGTTTCAGTAAAATCAGTAGTGTTGTCCAGAGCAAAACTTGGCCCTAACCTTCTCTCCAGAGAAAAAGACTTTGTCGGTTTTGAAGAAGACATCATTCTCAGAGACCAGTTTCTTCAAAACAAAACATTCTGTGCTTTTCGTCTTCTCTCTTTCCCTTCTTCCCCTCATATCAAATTTCCATTGCACAATACTTGGAGAAGGCAACATTTATAACATGGAAAAGATGATGTCGGCTTGTCATAACCACCACTGCTCTAAACGTGTACAGAAAAATAATAGATAAAACCCACACCAATAAGCCTGAAAGAAAGTCAATGCCACCACAAAAGGACAAGAGGGACTAACTATGAGTTTGGAAGAAAGTTGGACAAATTTAAATCACCAAGCAAAGGGAAAAACCTGCTAACTGTCAACAAAACAGGAGAGCATTGGGAAGATCATAGAAGTCTGACTTCAGAGGAGTTAGCAACTGCTAGTACTATAAATCTACCCTCTGTTCAAAAAGCTTCTGCTGGGCCATGACTACGGTGGCAGAAAAGCCAAAGGATTACATGTGTTTTCTTTTATTGATGATATAAATGAGGAAGAAAGGAGGGGGAGGAAGAGTAAGAGAGGCAGGATGTAGCTGATACTGCAGTGATATAATATTGCATTTTTAAGGATACTAGGTATAAATAGAAATATGTAGATCGGGATTTATAACCCTCCTGCCCCTAAACAAAGAAAGGCCAAGGAGAGCCCAAATGGGCATTGGTATACTGCAAGGTGCTTCACTGTAAGACAGAAGCTCCCATTTCTGATGATTTTTGCTTCACTATGTTAAAACTGGAAGGAACTCAACATTTTTACAACTGTGACAAATAAAACAGTGCCTGCAATACGTACTTCATCTGTCTGTGGATAGCCAAATCATAAATGACTACCTTGGATTCTTCGCAAATTGTGCTTTGCATTAGAAAGACATCAGAACACGACAAATTCTCAAGGCCATTTGACGCCACCTTTAACAGATTGATGGAACATGTGTACAGAGTATCCTGCAACCACAGCAGATGGAAATACTTACACAGAATATTTGAACTGCTAACTGCCACTGCAGTTCACTGTATCTCCCTTAAGAAATATAAATACGTTATGTATATTAGCTTAGCACTAGCGCACGTGGTTGTTTCTGTAAACCTGCTAAAATCGATTACACAGGTAAAACATGAATGACTTTGATATGAGTATTCCAAATAGCTTTTTAAATCTGAATTTAGAGCTATTACATGAGCTCAACAGCAACAGCAAGAAAGACATAATCTAGACAGTACTATATCCAAATAAATCATAGCTGAAGATTCAAATAAGTGAGAGTTAAGAATTCTAGTAACTTTCCAAGGCAGCAGGCGCAAAGTTAAAACTGGGAGGAATCCAAACTCAGGAGAGCTTATTCTTTTCTTTTTTGGTTAAATTAATTTATTACGGTGATTTCAGATCATCCTTTAGTTCATCTAGCTTTTTTTTCCTTGTTTTTAATTGCTTTCATTATTCTAAAACAAAGAGGTTTCCTTTGCTCCCAAAGAGAAAGTCCTATATTGTCTACACATGAGATGTAGATGCTTTCAAACCTTTTGTGGAGAAATAGAAAATATTTGTATTAATAAATATCATTTGCTGTTACATGTATTTGTATTATCACTTGAATACAAGGTTAGTAAAAAAAAACTGTTTTGCAAAAATCAGCAAGAATGAAAAATCTTAGCCCAGAATGAACAAACATGACCAGCCAGACAACATTAAAATCTACTAGTCAGGCTTGCAGCTTCCAATAGCTGACTTCTCAAACAGAATCCTGGAAATTCTATAGCTTTGCCAACACAGAAAACACAGAAATGACAGTACTGTTATCACAGGAGGACAGTGACAAACACAGACTTCAGGAGTTATTATCTAAAGGGTACCTCAGGCATTGAGAGAATGAGGTTAAGTTTAAGACACCTGCATATTTCACACAAACCCTTTCCTTTGTGTGTTTTAAGCTTTGTCCTAATACCAGTAATACTTTGTTTCAATTATTACTAATTACAAATGTCCCCCAAATCACACTAAGGAGCTCTTCAGGGAGTTGTATGTGGCATGTATCAAAGACAGTGACCACAACAGGTATCAACCTGTTAAAACCCCCACCTGAATGTGCACTGAAGGCTCAGGGCTACAATAGCCTGAAACGCATGACATGAGGGGGCTGGAAAGAGTCCAGCCTAACACAGGGTTCATGGTGCATACCCATAAGCAACCTGCAACCTACCTTGTGGCCTCACTAACAGCAAACTTTTGGTAGAAGTTAAGCAGAACAGCGATGAATGAGTAACAGAAGTCCTAGAGAATGAGACGGATCTTTCTGCTTGGTGTAGAAACTCCCCACAGAGTGTGTCAGACCATGCTGAGGGCCAGGCCAAGCGAGTCGTTCTTTACAAGAAAACCTGTTAGAGAGCAGCTGTGGTAATAGACCTTTGAGCCTCAGCAAATTCCAG